CTGCTCAACAGCCACATGTGACTAGTGACTACTGGAGATGCAGATATAGAATGTTTCCAACATGACAGAAAGCTCTACCAGACCAGCAGTGTTTCCGGGCTACTGGAAGCAACACTGGACTCCTCTGTGCTTTGACCATTTGGCACAACTCAGTCATTTGGGTGCAACATCTCTTTTGCAGATGGTATATTTTGGTGGGTTTTTGATTTTGAGTCAATTTTTGGAGCTTATATATTTCCTAGAAAATCATTCCTCTCACCAAGACTTTTACATGGTAGCTTTTGGATCTCAATCCTGTCTGCTTTCTTTAGGAGTGTGGTTGAATGTGTGTTTCCCCTAATGTCTCAAGCTGACATCTTAATTCACTTAACTTTGTATTTATTCCTTATTTAATAATTAACGCATGCTAGGTTGTGAATTTTTCTCCAAAGGCAGCTGTGGCAGCATTCCGTATGTTTTTAGACGTAGCATCCTCCTCATCGTCTTTGAAATAATCTGTAATTATAAAATTGACTTTCCTATCTCAAAAGTTAGGAACACTTTAAACATTTCTGATTTGAGGTTTTGGCATTGTTTCAATTTGTTTTCTTGTCTTGCTGCATTGTGGTGAGAGATTACAGCCTATACAATTTTCATAAATATCTATTGAGCTTTTACTTATGGCTTTATGTCTGACCACTTTTTGGTGGTATTTATGGACACCAGAAAGTAAAATTTTGCATCTCTTTAGAGCAGTGCTGTCCAACAGAAATATGGGAGTCTCATACACAATTTGAGATTTTCTAGTAACCACATTAAAAAAGGTGATAGGAAACAGGGAAATTTTGCTATATTTTATTTAGTCCAATATGTCCAGAATATTATGTCAATGTGTAATGAAAATTCACTAATAAGATAGTTTACTTTCTTTTTCTTTGCTTCGGTGCATATCTGACACACAGCACATCTCAATTAGCACTAGCCACATGTTAAGTGTTCAACAGCCCCATGTGGCTAGAGGCTACTGTAGTGGGCAGTGCAGCTTTAGAGGGTACAGAGTTTAGTAAAAATATTTTGCCAACCTCATTATTTTTTTCAGATTCCTTATGTCCCTGTTGTGTTCCACTCCTACAGAAACAGGGTAGCATGTAGGGCAACGTCTGCTCACCTTTCTGACGGACTCTGCTCTATTTGGCTGACAGTTCAGGATATTTTATAATTAATTTTTCACTGTAAAGGGCACCTCTTGGGAATGGCTTTCCTAATCCTACAACATCCAGAAGATTAGTTTTATATAAATAAAAAGACTGAGAGATTTTCTATGAAAATGAATTATATGGAAAAAATACCACAACTGGAGAAGGCAAGTTAAGTGCTTGATCAGTGTCAGTCTGTTGCCAGCTCTTTATCTGTATTAATTCATTTGATCTCAACACCCCTGTGATGCAGTTACTATGAGCATTTCAATTTTACAGATAAGGAAGCAGAGGCACAGAGAGGCTAAGAAACTTGCTCAAGGTCACACAGCTAAGAAGTAGCACATCTGGGATTCAAACTCAGGCAGTTGGGCTCCAGTGCCTGTATGCATAACCTTGGGCTATATCACCTCCCTCACATTTTACTGTGGGAGAAAACATTTGAAACATAAAAAAAATACTATCCAGAATATGTAAAAAACTGCTATCAATCAAGAAGACAAACATAAACAACCCCATAGAAAAAAAGGGCAAAGGATAAGAACAGGCAATTCATAGACAAAGAAATGGAAACAGCCAATAAGTATAAGAAAAGATGCTCAATTTGCAAGTCATCAAGGGCAAGTAGGTTAAAACAAGATATGATTTTTCATCTAACAGATTAGAAAACAAACTTATGGTTACCAAAGGGGGAAGATGGGGAAGGGATAAATTAGAAGCTTGGGATTAACAGATACACACTACTGTATATAAAATAAACAAACAACAAGGACCTACTATATAGTACAGGGAACTATATTCAATATCTTATAAAAACCTAAAATGGAAAAGAATCTGAAAAAGTATATGTATGTGTGTGTGTGTATATTTATATATATATATCTGAATCACTTTGCTGTACACCAGAAATTAACACAACATTGTAAATTAACTATGTTTTTAAAAATAGAGCAAAAATTAAGAAGTTTGATAACAGGGCTAGGAGGGTGTGTGACGATGGCCTCTCTTGCACTGCGGTAGTCATGCACAATTTGACTGCCTTTTTGAATGGCAGTTTGGCAGTACCCACCACCATGTAAAATGTACTTCACTTTTGACCAGCAATTCCACTTCCAGGCCTCTGTCCTACAGCTGTGGTCTCCTCTAAGCACGATGATGCAGGCACACAGCTCTCCTAACCCAGCTCCACATGTCCAATGGGCCCGGGTCAAGTGCACTGTTTCCCTGCAAAGCCACATCTGCTGAGGGTCGGGGCCAGGCTGCCTGCCCTCCGGCCACCTGCATGCTTCTCTCCTCACCTGTGAGCCCTTGTGTTTGTCCCCAAACTTATTCAAGTCAGTTGTACTTGCTGCGCTATTATGTCTTTTAATGATACAAATGAAGGAATTTTCAGTGCAAAAGGAGTTGTTTTTATGAAAAGTAAGCTGAAAGCTCTAAGAGGCCAGTCAAAGGCAAGTTGCTAAAAAACCAAACCCAAAATCAAACTGCTCTTGAATAAAACAAGTATAAAATATGGGGGAAACATAAAGATCTGTAAGATTCTGCACTTAGGAGTCTTCACAAGTGTCTCAAGGCCAAAATCACATGGTGCATGACTGTAATTTATAAAGAGAGAGAAAGTGAACACAGCGGGTCCTCCAGTGAGAACCCAGGAGACAAGAAAAGGCCTGCGCATGTGCGTTGTTTCCATTTTTTCTTTTAACAATGAAAATGCATTGATGAGTCACTTATTTCATTTTAAAACTTTAAAAAATAAAGTGATACTTGTAACATACAAATGACTCATTGTTCCCTATGGTAACTTGTCTTGCCTTGAATTCTAATCTGTATGATAATATAGTGGGTTTAGTTTTCTAATCAGTTGGATAATTTCTGCCTTTCAATGGAGGATTTAGGCAATTTACATTTATGGTGCTATTCCTCTACCACCTTATTTTATGCTATTTGTTTTTTGTGTCTTTTAACTGTTTGCTTTCCTTTTCTTACAAGAACCCTGCCTTCTCTGCTTTTGGCTTGTTGTTATAGGAGGTTTATACCATGTTTTAAGTTCTACTGGGGTTTAAGCTTTCCAAAGTATTTTAACTTTATCTCTTGAATTATCAAGGTAAAAAAATAGACTTACTGTGGTCATCGTTTCAACATGTATGGAAGTCAAATCATGCTGTACACCTTAAACTTACACAGTGCTGCAGGTCAATTGTATCTCAGTAAAACTAGAAGAAATAAGTTAGGGAAGGTGGCTGTGTGTGTGGCTGGTGGAGCCCCTGGGTCTCTCAGGTAAGAGGGACGGCCAACTGCAGGGGGATTTCTCCATGGCTTCCAGCGCCTTCTTCATGGCTGCTTTCAGTGGCAAAGCCTGAGGAGCTTTACTCAATCTGGCTCCCTCTGCCTCATGGAGATCCCCCTGACTGTGTTCCTTCACTTTTGATGGGGAGCATGGTCCCTTACATCCCCTCGCCAGTCTCTTCATGAGAAACTGGGAGGAGCCCAGTTGGGATGACTAGACGAATGACATCGGAAATTTCATAAAAAAAAAAAAAACTCCCGCGGCATCCGTTTACAAATCGCCGCTCATGAGTCATGAGGGATGTCAGAGTTTAAGCCCATCTCTCCTGAGTCTACTGGGCAGGATGCAGTGAACCTTGGGTGACCCTTCAAAAATCAAGTGTTATCAAGACTTCTCGAGGAGCAAAGGCATCGTACCACCCGAGCCTGGACTGGATGACCCCACTCGGGAGATGTTCTCAGCTTTGGTCATTACCTGTGAGCACAGTTTGCAGTTTAGCCTTTCAAATAAACAAGAAGAGCACATGCTTCTATAGAGTCATGAACAGAAGAATCAGGAGTTAAAGAAGGACAGAACATCTGGAGTCAGGACTGCAACTAGGAACAAGTTCAAGGTCGAGCTTGAAGGAGCATGTGAATGAGGGTGGGGAGGAGCGTGAGAGGGCAGAGAAGATAAAATTGGACTGAACAAGTTAAAAGAAAAAACCCAAATCTCTTCATTTTTCCCCTCTGCATCCACTTTTTACCTTTCAGCACGAACACACACCTGCACAGTCACCCTTTCTGGCCACCGCTCTCCCTCCTTACTATGGACCAGACTTGTCTCTGACCAGATTTCTTTCTACACCCAAATAATCTTGGTTCAGATAAAATGAACACTTAGACTTCTTAGCTACTCATTTCTGTCACCGTTCATGTTTTACGAATTATTTCTCCCCGCCAGCAACAAACCATTAGGCAACTCCGTGATTCTGCCTCAGCCTAACTGACCGGCAAAGTCTGCCTGGCCAATCAGTTGAAGGGGGAAGAGACAAAAGTCCCAGATTTCCACCCCATTTCAGGAGGGGTGGGGATGCCAAGGGTTTTCTTTCAGAGCCCCACTCATCCAAGGTTCAAGCGACTGCAAAATGAAGACGAGGGATCAGACTGCGAGTGAAAAGTGAAGCCCAGATGACTGCAGTCAGTTCACGGTCTAAATGAGTTCAGCTTCACCTACTGCACGCGCGTTCACGCGCACCACGGAAATACCCGACAGCAACAACAATGAAGGTTAGAGAATGCACTCATACTGCCTGATGGAACAGCCATGCTGAGGACACTCCACAATGGAACTGAGCTATCCTAGAAGGTAACTAGGTATTTTTCGTTGCCTGTGAAATAACATGAATTTTCTTGCATGTTCTGGATGGATGTACCCTGCCAGTAATTCTTCTGGTGAGCCAGCCTGGGAGCTTCACCTCACAAAGGAAGCCTCACTCATGTTGGTTAAAACACCTGTACCTTCTGAATGGAAGCTCCCACCCCAGGGCAGCCCATTACCTCCTGCAGTTTGATCTCCTCTGGCTGGAGGATGTCCAGCACCCCGCTGCTCTGAATCTCAGGGAGATCTTGCCAGAGGTTAAATCTGGAGTGGGGGTTACTGAGCAGGCAGATATGGGGCAGAGCCTTCCTCTCCGGTGGGCTTGCCAGCTCCTCCTCCTCTTCTTCCTCATCCTCCTCCGGTGTCTCTTCGCTGGTGGGGGACCCATCGGCACTGCTTTGTATTTCTGCATCCTGTTGCCTCCTGGTTTCAATTTCTTGGAGAGTTGATTTATCTCGGTATTCCTGATACAGGAGCCCTGAAATCAAATCAAATTGCACTGGAGACATGAAAAAGATTTCAGATGAAGATCCTTCCAAATCACTAAGTCAAGGCTTTGGATTTCTATCAAGGGCAAATGCTCTGCCTGTGAATGCACACAGGAAGCCAGACCTGCACAGGTCTCAGGAAGGGGCTCAACCACCGAATAAACTGCCGTTGTCTTCATGTCTCAGGAAGGATCAGCATGCATGCTTTTTTTTTCAACAAAGAATAAAGAACAGATTCAAAATGCAGTCACACAAATATATGCTTTTCGCACACATACTCGGAAAACAGGAATCTGCAACTTGACGTGTTAATAACCAATGTGCGCAGAGTTGATGGAAATGTCCCAATTATGTTTCAGTATTCCAACAGGATGCTTCTCAAAGCCTTAAAGGCTTCAATATTAAAACTCAAGTATACTCATTTGTGAAACGGGAGTAGTTGTAAATTCTTATTTTGAAGGAAAAACCAGCATTTCATCAACCTTATGATTCAAAAGGGAAACATTCCTTCTCTGCTTTCACGGCTTCAGACTTACTTCCCTGACCAACTGTATTTGAAATAAATGCGTTCTAATTCTCTGAGGAGATTTGGGGGTACAGAGGAATCAGCAAAAATGTAGCACCCCCACAGGGAAAAACTCATTTCGGACATCCTGGCTTCAGGGCAGAGGGATGGTCTGTCCACACAGGAGCAGCAGAAAAAGCTTCAGCGGCAAAGGGGTTCTGGGCCCAGGGAGAGGGGAAGCGGGGCTGGGATAGGGAAGGGGTCCTGCTGGCAGTGAGGCTGGGAGAAGAGGAGGGTCTCCCCAAGGGTCTTGTCTATCCTACAGGCAAAAGGGAAGTGCCAAGAGACCTCAGGTCAGCTGCTCTGGTCTACATCTTAGGAGGCCCCTGGAAGGAAGGAAAGAGGCTGTTCTCTTTCTTCCAGAAGAGCAATGATGGAGGCCTGAACTGTGGTGGTGGTGGAGGGATGGGGCCGTGTGCCTGATTCAGGGACAGGTGTAAGGGGGAACACGGGTGCCAGTGGTTGGCTGGTGCTGGGTTATAAATGATATCTGGATGACCAGTTGGCAAGAGGGTCTGGTGGCTCTATTCAAGGAGACAGGGAACACAGGAGGGATGGGGCATGGGGTGGCGGAGAGATCCAGGTGCACCTAGGGGTACTCAGGTGGAGAAAACCAGTGAGCAGCTGGACTGGTCTGGAGCCTGGGAGAGCGGCTGGGGCCCCTTGATATATCTGTCTACAAAACAAAGATGATTTTCCCAGGAAAGTTCTAACAGGGATAAATGTACCACTTATAAAGCACTTTCTCATGCAATGCAGTACAAATATTAGTTATTATTCCTCCTTTAATTGTTAAACATATCTAAACAGTACAAAAAAGGAAGGGAAAAAAACAGACTATCTGTGAAATCCTGAATGTGTCTGGATAAATAATATTCATAATTTATAAATAGCAGGAATCCAATAAATCACCCATGGATTTAATCAGTTAGCTTCATATATGCCATAATGTAGAATTATAAAGCCTTATGCAAAGTATAGCATTTACTTAAAAAAAAATAAGATCCTGTGATTTTACAATGCTACGATCCAGCAGATTACAACATGGAGTTAACCTGACAATGGAATGAAAGAGAAAACCTAAATCTATGCTAAATGCAACCCAGACTGAGATCTGTAAAGACAGAGGTTTAAAGTCACTACATACACTGGTTCAGTCACAACATAAGATATAACTATTGCTGCCAACATGGAATCCATTGTTCTCCTATGATTCTGATACTGTGTTTATGGAGGTTTAAAGAAACCAGGATTCCACGAGTTGACTTGGATTTACTTTTCAATGCTTAGCAGAGTGTCTCCCACATAGTAGGTACTCAAATATTTGTTGAATTGAGCACCTTTAAAAATGCAGTTCCGAAGGTTCACAAAAGTATCTAACCAATTTGGCGTCTTTTTGAAGGTTCAGAAATATATCTTATGTATGTTAGATGGCATATGCAAATCATGGGTCAGCATGATGGGTAAACCATTGGTAAAAGCTGTCTCCAATGTCTCACATGATGGTGTGATACATGTGCTGAAAAGAGACAGAAATATCAGCATTGTGGATAGTTGGGTTGAAAACTGTATTTCTAAAATCACATTGTGGCTGCCTCTCCTCTATCCCTTCACATCCCTTCTTCCCAGCTGGCAGGGTGCTGACCCATTCTGTGCTCAGGGAAGTGGGTGAATGCTGACTTATCAAAATCTACCACGATTGTTCCCTTCCCCTTGCCACTTCTGGGTTTAGACATGAGCATGAGACCCGACCTATGGAGAGTAAGGCAGCATTTTACATCTTTGAGAAGAAATTCTCAAAATGATATCCCTCCCCAGTAGACACTTGAAGACAAACTGCTCTTTTCTTTTTGGTTTTTACACATGGCTGTTTTAGGATGTGATGCATGGAGCCATGGCAGACATCTTGTGACATGAAGCCCAAATGCTGGGAATGGTGGAGGGAAAGGAGCTGGGTAGATTGCTTAGCTGAACGAACCAATTCCAGAACTTCTACCTCATTCCTGGACTCATTAACTCAGATAGAATACTTCCATTTTTTAAGGTCATGGTTTTTTTGCTAGATATTCTATTACAGTCAGTCAAAGACTCCCAATACAAGTAATTTTCTTAAAGCTTCATACTTCTTTCTGAAGTCTTCAGAATATAAATTTGAACACCAATTTTCCTGCAGTGACTGTGATTACAAACTTATCTGATGCACTGTGTAACCAATTTTCATAACCCGTTTTTTTTTATTAGCTTTAAAATTCAGATTACAAAAGAAATAGAGTAGGTTGACCTGAAGAACTATAAGTTATCTGATTAAATTTCTGTATTTTTACTATTTTGCACATTAAGTAAGCAAAATTAATTTTACTTGTAAAAGCTTGCACCTAGTATTATACCCATGCAGAATTAGAAGGCTCAGTTTCCCTCTCCCCTAATTAAAATGATCTATACCAGGTGGGCCAAGCTGCCTGGAGAAGAGGGCAAATTCCCGGCTCCTCTTGCCCCTGGAGTCATTCAAAATCTCTCTTTCTGAAGAAAATAATTTTTTTCTTTGAATGTTTCAGATAGAAACGTCTAAAGTGCAGGGGAATTCATTTACTTTTTAGCGAGCACCTTCTGTGTGTCAAGCATTTGTTGGGTGCCAGAGACAACCACAGTCCACACACACACACACACACACAAAATCACAGATTCCCAGAGTCTGTGATCTGTGGGGCCACTGCTACCGACAATGACAGCTGTATAGCTCGTCATGCATAGTCCTGGCACAATATTGTTCTGGCCTTGGTAGGAGCCATGCAAAATCAACACAGTCCACAAGATGTCTACAGGATGCCCATATAATCATCCCACTTTCCTTCCCACTTGATTCCACTGTGTCTTTAGGAACGTGCTCCTTTCCTGATACCTGGCAAAGAATTCACTTCATACACAGAGCTAAAAGCAGCTGGCCTGTTGTAGGAATCGGCCTGGTAATAGCCTGGAGTCTATGATGAAGGATGTGAGGAGGCAGCCTCAGTCCTGTGCTGTCATTCAACACATCTGTTGAGCACCTACAATGGATCCAGCCCAGGAGCCAGAAACACATATTCACCATCGCACCAGCAGACAGTGGTAGACTATCTGCTGTCAGAGTGTCAGTCTCTACTGCAATTTACCAAAGAGGAAATTGAGGGTCACAATAAGCAGGTACCAGAGCTCAGGGCTCCTGACACTCAGACTTGAGCTTATGCCAATGACCCAATAGATCCAGCCCTCTCCAGGAAGGAGGTTTCCACATGCCCATAATGCAGAAGGGAGCCTCTCTCTCCGTGAGGAGTCACAGATCTCCCCACCCACATCCCGACTTCCTTCCTAGTCTAGACATCAGTCTTAGCCAGAAGACCCCTTCCAAGTGGCTGGACAGCAAGGCTTCCAGCACACAAAGAGGCCAAGATGGCCCTCCTTAATACAAGGGGCAACATGGCAGAGGTGGAGAAAGGGATTTTCAGGAGTGTTTGTTCTCAGATCAGTCCTCTCTCCATCCCCCCAGCAAACAAAGGGAAAAGCCACCACCACCATCACCATGACACACAGGGGGCCCGCTAGGAACAAAATTCCTGGAGTCAGCGCAGCTTAACAGACTGCAGTGTGTGCTCCACCCTCAGCTTTGCAAGGGCTCAGCCTGCTCCTAGGGTTCAGTCCCGAATAAACCCCAGCCATGGAAGAGGGGGCCTGTCCAGAAAGGAAAGTCTCCCACAGGCAGGTCTCCTGGGGCAACAGAAGCTCCAATTCCATTCACGACACTTCATGTCTGTCTGAGCAGTTGGTATGGAGGACAATGATGATGTATTTAGACAAGAAAATTTTCAAGCCAAAATTGTAATTTAATGAATAAAACTGATACTCTGATGACACTGAAGAACAAAAGATTTCTAAGCGGCGGTGGTACCATTTCCAAATAACTCTCATTACCCGGTCATGGCTGCCTCTGGTGACGAGGATGAGAACTAACTTGATGTCATCAGCAACGTTTGCCTTTTAAATTAAGTACCTGGGTTCTTGGGACGCCTTCTCAAGCCACTTTCTGCTTTCGCAGTGTAGGAGCTGGACATGCAGGCTGTGCCCCATACTTCTCAGCCAGGCTCCTGGACAGGCAGGTGTAGCCAGGCTTCCCTTCCTAACCCAGAGGCTTCTGCGGCTCCTGCTTTCTCTCTGCTTTACCTTTCCTTCCCCTGTGCAAAGTCTGCCACTGCTGCCCCTTCCTGAATCACACCAGTCGGCCCGGCCCTCTCCAGAAGTCCCTCTGCAGACTCCTCTTCCTTTCCAGGTCTTCCCCAGCACCCCCGCCCAGGGTTGGGCTCATGGAGCCTTCCCTCCTGCACCACCCATAAGCACCTCACCCCTGGACTTTCTGGCAGAAGAGACAAGGGGACAGAAAGCCCTCCCTGGGAAAGGGCTGAACCAGTACACTCTCCAAGAGAGCAGGGAAGAAATGCATCTGCTAAAGCCCAATTACATAGCCACTAACAAAATGTGGCAGTTTTGCCTCTGGAACCACGTAGAACCAAATATGTCAATAATCCCCTTGTCAGATACATTTGCCCAAGAGAAATGCAACGGCATCCCACCAGCAGGGGAAACCTCAGGGTCCACCAGGAACCCACGCTTCCCCGGTGACGCCCCGCCGCCGGGGACACCCACCTATTTGCTCGATGAGGTTTCTCCAGGAGTCGGCGGGAATGGGGTGGATCATCTGCAGGGCCTCGGTGAGCGTGGTAGGGCTGTCGGCGAGGGCCGGGAACTCCTCGGGTGTGGCCCCATTTCCCGGGGTGGAGGACGACTCGCTACAAGAGAGAGGAGAGGCAGGGGCCGGTTATTTTTAAGCAACGACGCACCTCGCAAGTGGCGTCCGCACCAGCGGCCTTGGCCAGCTGGACCCTGCCTGGGATGTCCAGGCGGAGCGGCCGCAGCGGCCGCCGCCCCTCCCGGCCAGGCGGGCCCCACAGGCCCTTTTTGTCACCCCACCAGGGCGCGACCGTGTGATTCATTCCCACACCAGCCCGCCCAAACCTTCATGTTT